GGGGAAGGAGGAGTCAATGGAAACATATTCGTAATAATGAGAGCAGGACCTGGGTGTTGTAGATGAGATAACGTAGGAGTGTGGGTGGTGTCGGCGGAGCGTTGTTATCGGCTCCACCGGAATTAGCCAATTAACGGCGAGCCGTAAAAATGGAGCGTGCAATATTCGAGCGAGTTATATTTATTTAAGATAGTGGTTACGCCATTGGTTGTAACGTGTTCGAACGTGTTTGCGCGTGTTCAAGGTCGATCGGTTGATGACGTCATCGTTAAAATAATAGCACCTCTCAATAATTATAGTTTTAAATTGCGCAGTAAAATACAGAAATTCTGAGAAAAACCGCAAGAATGTTGATGACGTCATCGCTAAAAATAGAACTCGAACAGGTTCAAACGTATTCAAGGTCGTTCAGAATGATGACGTCATCGTTAAAATTGCAATTGCGCAGGAAAACAAAATAATTCCGAGAAAAACCGCAAATTTCCCGGAAGCGGTTCGCGTAAAAAAATAAATTGCGCGCAGTTCGCAATTGCGCAGCAAATAAATAAGAAATTCCGAGAAATACCGCAATTTCTCGGCAAACAAATAATTTCGAGAAAAACCGCAATTTCCCGGAAAACAAATAATTCCGAGAAAAACCGCAATTTCCCGGAAGTGAGCCTGTTCTTATCGCCCTAAGCGATCAGCCGCTTCCGGTTTGATGACGCACTTCCCATGATAACGCAAAACCGTTGCGTACCGGATGTGGTGTTTTTGAAACGCAAACAAGTAACAACCTAGATATATGTTTACATCTTGAGGACTAGTGGTGCAAAAGGATGTAATGGAACGCATTGTGTTAGGAATGTGAAATAAAAAACTCTATGTTATTAAAGATTATAGGAAAATTTTATTTTTATGTTTTTTTGTAAAACATATTGTGATATAATGAAAAAATTAAACAATAATATTTTATATTAAGGGGCAACACCGTAACACACATACAGCCATCAGTTCGCATTCGACAATATCGTTGACGTCGAAGCAACCACTCTGTGCGACAGCAGTTGCGAAGCTCGCGGGATCCGATGTTTCAGACAAGATCGCGAAATACCGCGACAATCTGTCTCGCACGCGAATAACAACATTGTTCAAGTAGGCAATGATGCATGCCACGCAATGTTTTAAGTTGAACAAGTTGCACATTGATTGGTGGGAAAGTAATATGCAACCGGTTTTTGTAGACAGACGTATAATCCTCGCGGTGTTTATCAAGCTGAACGATACCGCTAGATCGTCGACAAGAATCGACGGCTGCGCATCGCTCTGGCCAGACAAATACAACGTGATGACTCGTTTGTTGTCCAACAACGTGTTCCACATTTCCGGCGACAAAAGCACCTCGTTCCCATTGTTGTCACCTAGAGCCACATTTCAACGGTTGGTGAAGCATCTTTGGATGAGATACCGATGCCGAGCTCGAAATATTTATATCCCGTCTTGGTTAATATGTACTTGCGACTCAGTATTCGCATAGGTTGTGTTAGTTGAATGCCATTGCATTGTCTGTGAATAAGACAACTAAACATGATTCTATCGTGAATTAAAAAAAAATAATAAAAATAGAAGCAACAAAAAGAAAGCAAAAATAAAAAAAAAATACCTACCCATGATCAAATTTCTTTCTCTTCACACCGTTGTGTTGAGGCTCGCGCTGAAGATCGATGGAAGGTTGTTGTTGTTGTTGCTTCATCGGAACCATCGAGCGAAACATCGTTGAGCTGTTCTTTGCGAAGAGAAGAAAGATCGACAACCCGTAGCACACAGGACGATCACAACGAGGGTGAATGACTGACTGACAGTACGGTTGCCATGTAGCGGTTTATATATCCCTCACATAAAATAATAAAGC